CGTGAGTGTTATGCTTTCGACGCAGCTCATATTACATTCAACGCCCGTATAATGATTGCCCCAGATTGGGTACTTATCATTGCGCGAAGATTTAAGTGCGGATGCCGCTCGCGCTCGCAGCCGGAGCTGGAAGGGGTGCCGCGCACCACCTACGACTCGACCCGCATCATGTATGTCCAATACCGACTTAGAATTGCAGTGCAGATTTACAATGACTTGGAGACTGTGCGCCCAGGCAAAGCTGAAGTTCAATCGCACCCGCAGAGCATGGTATCGCGAGGCTCTGTCACTGTGTGCGCGTCCCGCGAGGTTTATTAAGGAGGTGGTGTTCGGGAAGCAGCGAGTTCACCTATATAAGTGGCAAGTCATGCTGTGCTCACAAACATAATACTACACGCTCAGTCCATTGTCGCATTAGTGAAGGGAGTCGTGGCGAATCCCAACCGCTTGTTCGTGGTATCCTGAAAGCATTCGTCAGGCCACTGTATAAACGATGACAGAACAGAGAAAAAAATTACAAAGACAGTATAGAACCGCTCCAGGAAGGCCTGACCCATGATGAATCCAAGGCCGCCGCCTAGTGTGCCGATGTCAGAGACAACGAGATAAACGTAGTCATTGGTGCCGCCAAACATCTCGTTCAGCGCCCTCTGCAAGACTCAAAGTGAACACGCGCACGGCCGACCAGAATCTCCATGTGAGACTTACTGGCACTGCCTGGGCATTTGCAGGAAATTCGTGCGTCACGCCATTGATGTGGAAGAACAAACTCTGCAGGTTTGCGAATTGAGATGGGGTGAGGCGGAAAAGTCCGGTAGAGTTATCTAACACGGCACCTGTCGCTTGCTGGTAGCGCATCGCGGCGTCTGCACCAGGGAACAGTACTGAGCGAGGTGCAGTGCAAAACTGCGAAATTAGCCATACCTGAGGCAATCAAGAGGAGCGTCGTTCCGGTGTCGACAATACCGGCGGTCTCGTTGAGGATGTTGATCCCCGAAGTGCCATAGGTGATGCTCTCGTCAATACCCCTGAGACCGGTCTATGTGTAAGGTCTTGGATATCTTGTGGTATACCACTATCACGTACCAGAAAGTCGATGCAGGTGGTGTGGTGGAGAGAGGGCTGCATACACTGATCAGCACGACCAACAGGCTAGGTTGTGATGTTTATTCACTCACGCATAGCTGATATCACCAGTGAATTTTCTTGGATCAGTGCCCCCGAACGTCAATTCACCATTGATAACATTGGCTGCCGTCGTGGGTTCGAATGAGATTGCGACAAGGTTCCGAGGGATGGTTCCTTGCGAGAAGAGATTGTCGGTGACTGCAAGCAATGCGCAGTGTGAGCGATCAATTCGACAGATAGACCCTCACGACTCACTGGTTGGGATCGTCGACTGCGTATCCGGAGATAGTGTACCAAGAGTCAAGTCTGTGGGTCCAATGCTAACAAAGAACGCCGAAGATCGATGAGAGGCTGTGCCGGACACATGCAAAAGGAAATGCTCACCCCATGATACCATCGACACCTGGGAAGCCTTCCGAGCTATTAGCCACACCGATAGATTGGTTGGTGATGACCAGGCCTGAGGCCAAGGTCACGGTATCTGTGAACTCCGTGCCACCGAAGCTGCCCGTGCCGTAAAATACGGACTACGGCAGTGTGTGTATTTAGCATTGATGTGGCCCGAGGGAAGAAAAACTTACCACACTATCATTTGTCTGAACGGAAGTAGACGTCTTGACATAGGCCTTACTGGCACCGACCCATGTATTGGAGCTTCCTGTATCTACCAGAAGCGAATCTGCGAGACCATGAATACGATTCCCCTTTGCTAGAATGCCGAACACACGACGTACAGTTGGTCGGTGGATTTCCAATGCCAATCTTGTCATGTGACACGGTTAACGACTGTCTTTGAAAGGACGTATTCATAACGTACATTCACGACGTAGTCCAAAATTAAATTGGTAGCTGGGATACTGATGGGGCCCGCGTACGCGGATGGCTCGCTGACAGTCCCCAATTTTATGAGCTGCTGCAAGTGGCTGACATGAACCAGGTCACGGCTAAGCAGCGACGCTGATCTGGTAAGGCTCATACGTTTCACCACCGGAAGGCGGATCAGATCGTTGCGAACGGTCATGACCGGGCTGCCGAGCGTGAGAGGTAGAATGGCAAGGAGAGAGAAGCCGGCAAGCATGCTGGGATGAATCGACGACGTTGACGACGGGTTCGGTGACGACGACCGCCGTGCACCTTCGCCTTATATCACAGCCGTCGCTCCACCCCATCTCAGTATGTGACACACTCCTTCGCGGCGGTGTCCATCTCAAAAAGCGGGCGCAATGAACGTGTTAAGACCCGCTTCTGAGATCAAAGAGCATGAAACAGGAGTATTGAGGCGTTGCTTGGAGTTGCGAGACAAGGCTGGCGCGATCCCTGCGGCGGATATACTGAATTTCTATTTGTACTTTGCTTAGTGCGTTGCCACTGGGCCGGTAAGCGCACCGCTTTCCTGCGCAGAATCGGCCAAAAACTGATTGAACGATGCCCTATGTTCCTCCGGTTTTCGCCTGGAAAAAATCGAAGACAAAACTCAGTTTTCCACCAGTTTTACTATGATTTGAACTCTTTTGGCTGGTTTTGCGCCCGCTTATCCTCAATTTGCGTCAGGGTAGAGTCGAGGAAGAACTAGGCTTTATTTAGATACCTTTTTCCCGGATTTTCTCAAGAAAAACACTGCGCCTACCACCGTATGTTAATCAAGGGGAAGCGATCTTAGCGAGGATAGCAAGTAAGCCATACCTGTGTCAACGCGAGACTGTCTGGGTTGGTGTTGTGGTGACAGAAGCTTCAGCTTGACTCAGCTTGACCAGTACACAGCTATCCGCCGCTCCTTGAAACGGCCAAATTCTCCGTGCCTGCCAACCGTGTTTCACCGAATGTGCTAACCCGATTCACAATCAAATCGGGGGTCACAAGGCCTCCATAGCCACACATCACACGACGATCCACAAGGTCATCCATCATCGGCAAAAAGGGACGGAGATTATATTGCATTATAAACTCAAAAATCACTAAAAATCGCATTATAACGCATTATAAATGCCCTACGGTGCATTATAATGCATTATATTTGACCGCCCAATGTGCCGATGATATATCATAATATCATGTCCACGCTCAGAGCCTCTACTTAAGCCGTCTGCAAAAGAGCAGAGGACATCAGCGCTCCAGCACTTTGTCGCGCGTCAACTTCTGGCATTCCGGGTGAACCTGTGAAGGTAGAAGCACGCGCGCCCTCCGCTGCATGCAGAGGCACTGGACTTTGATTACTTACCCGAGAATGTGCACGGTAGACTGGCAGGTGGCATTTCACGCCACTTCGTTCGGGTGCACGTGTCGATGGATGCGTGGTTGAGCGGCGACCCGTATATATTAGCATCGCCTCCCCTTGCTTGAATGAAAGTGCAGCCACCACTCGGAGATGAACAGCGTCCCAACCCACCGCAGCAGATCACAATTTGACCCACGACCAGAAATCGACAAATTATACATCATGGCAGCGGGTGCAAACCAATACATCGTATTTCGCAAGGTACATCTTGAGCTCAGACAGGAGACGCACTACCGTTCTCACCGCCTTGGCTATTAATAATGGTACGCTGCGAGTCGCGTATATACACGCCAGGCAGAGAAATACACTCCCAGCGCCCGTCCAGTGTTATCTGCCTTCTTCAGCGCGTCAGACAATATGACAGAGTCTAGTGGTTGCGGTTACCACACTAGCCTCGTCCTCTATATTCGGTAGATGACCTTCACCTTCCCGCTGCGCAGTAGAGTGGAGGCGTCTGGGCAGCGAGGGTCGGTGAAACGGAGGCTTGGCGTACTTCGTGCCGGTCAAGT